TTTGCTGATTTTAAACCATTCAGTGTCTCCTTGTTCTGTTTGAAAGACTGCCACTTAGTCTATGTACAGGTTCCTTATGAGCACAATGAAATGTTCTGGAATACTCATTTTTCACAATGCTGTCTATAGTTTGTCATGATTCACACAGTGGAAAATCTTTGCATAGTCAATAAAGCACAGGTAAATGACTTTCTGGTATTCTTTGCTTTTCGTCAAGAGCCATCCGATGCCAGTAATGATATGTCTAGTTCCACATCCTCTTTTGAATCCATCTTGAATTTTTGACAGTTTCTTGTTAGTGTACTGTTGCAACCATTTTTGAATTATCTTAAGCAAAATTTTACTTGCATGTGATATTAATGATACTGTTCAATGATTTCCATATTCTGTTGGGTCACTTCTCTTTGGAATGGGCACAGATATGGATCTCTTCCTATCAGTTTGCCAGTTAGTTGTCTTCCAAATTTCTTGGTATAGATGAGTGAGTGCCTCCAGTGCTTTGTCAATTTGTCAAAAGATTTCAGTTTTAGTCCATCAATTCCTGGTGCCTTGTTATCTGTCAATGCCTTCAGTGCACCTTAGACTTTGTATCATTGGCTCTTGATCATGTGCAACCATTTCTTTTTGGTAGAGTGACTGTGTATATTCCTTCTATCTCCTTTTGATACTCAATATTTTGCCCATGTTGTTAACAACATGGGAAATATATATATATTTGGCTTCAACTGCTTTTATTGAGGGTAAACCTTGGGGCAATCAGTCACGAGACACCAAGAACCCCTTAATGACCTTTTGCTTTCTTCCTGTTTAATGTTGTTGATGTCATTCCACAACTATTATGGTCTTTGGTCATTAGTGTCTAATGCATCAAATGTGTTCTTTTTTAAACTTTGTATTATGACTTGAGTGAAGATTAACAGACAAGATCATCAGCTTTACTTCAATCAATCATACGTGTTGTTTCATCTAAACAATTACAGTTCCTTCTTTGAAAAAATAGTTACTCTGCTTCCTCCCTGTGGCTTCCCTTTTACATCTTATTTTTCACAAATCAACAAAGCAAAATATTTGATGCACACACACAAAACAAAATTTATATTTTACTTTAAAATAGCCAAAGGGCATATTTTGTAAGCCAGCCTCCTGCCTGCAGACACACAGCCTTTCTCAGTCCATGGACCTAGAGTTCACAGTTGCTCTGTCTCTCCATGCCATTGTCTCTGCCACCGTCTCTGCTATTGCTGCCTTTCGAGGTAGGGATTTCACACTCCACTCATGTTCTTCCTACTTGATGGTCCTGGGGACTTGTGTTCCTACAATGAAAGATAAACTACACCCCACGTTCGTCACACATCTTCTACAATTACAGCTGAGATAATTGGAACTAATCTGATAAAAATTAATCACAATTGGCTCATAAAATCTTGTCACCATCAGCCCCCATCTACTTTCACCAGATCCATCTGGAAAAGAGGAAAACTATTCAGTGGAGATTCTACATTACCCCCTCGTTCTAAAGTGAAGCACAATCATGAAGCTTGTAAGCAAACCACTTTGTGCCTTTCTAGCCCCCCGTTTTTGATAGTCAATGTCTAAATTGCCTGTCCCTATCAGTCAATGTCTAAATTGCCCGTCTCTTTCCTCAGTGCACTGAGGAAACAGTCTTGATTCTTAATAGGAAGAATCCTTGCATTTCAGTTGGAATTTTTTAGCAACTGCATCTGTAAGCAAGGGTCCAGTTCATCAAATTGTAGCAATTTACACCTGCTCACAGTATCAAGCATCTTTATCTTCATCTGGTTGAGTTCTGGTCAGATAGCCATCCAAGCTAGATCAAATAGATACTGTCTACAAGTTTGGGAGTTCTCCATGCCTCCTCCCACTTTAGACCAGCTGGCAGCTTCACTCTCAGCTCTAGTCCCCAGAGGTTAGGCCAGTGTCCATGGGTTCAGGAGTTCACATAACAATTAAACTTATGATCAGCCAGCCCTTCCTCTTCTTACTCTCATCTTAAGGTCAACGGGTGTGAATGGAACATGGCCAAACTCTGCCCAGATCTTCATTGCTGCATTTCCCCCACTTCCACTCACAGGTAGACCAGGGTGGTCACCAGCGAGCAGACTAGACTGTTCGTGGGTTATCTTTCAATTTCAGTCTTAGGACCTCTTTTCTTGGGCCTTTACACAAGGGAGTTTTCCAACCTGAACTTTCTTCTCCCGCCTTCCCCACAGCCTCTGCCTCATACATCCTCTTTACTCTTCATGTCTCAGCCTAGATGTCTCCTCTTCTAGGAAACCTTCCTCATTCCTCCAGTGTGGACAGGTGTTTCTTTTGAGAACTCCATGGTGCCTGTACCTACTCAAGCAGAGCACCGACATTCCACTCAACTGTAATTGCCTCTTATTTGCAATCCCAGCGGACTGGGAACTACTCTGTCAGGGTGGTAAAAAGCTGTCTTATTCTAACACTTACCTACAGATTAGCCTTAAAATGTAGTCATTATTTCATCTGTGTTCTTGACTGAGTGAATGGATAACATTTCTAGAGGTCTCAGACATGAGACCTAAATTTAACTTGAAATAATTCCTTTGAATGTGTCCACCACTCTCAAGTCTATTTGGACTCACGGTGACCCTAGAGGACAGAGAAGAACTGCCCCATTAGGTTTCTGAAGCTGAAACATCTTTCTCTTAAGGAGTATCTGGTAGGTTCGAACCATCAACCCTTAGTTAACAGCACAACATTTAACCCACTGTACTGGCTGGTGGTTATGTGCTGTGGAGGCTATTCCAACTCATAGCGATCCGATATAGGGTTTTCGAGGCTGTGAATCTTATCTAAGAAAGCCTCATCTTTCTTCCACAGAGCATCTGGTAGATTCAAACTGCTGACCTTGTGGTTATCAGCTCAACTTATAACTCACTATATTACCAGAGCACCTTACCTAGTGCGCTACCAGGGATCATTTCAGCAAACATCTAAAATGTACTTGGTCCTATGGTCAACTCCGGAGAATCAAAGAGGGATAAGAATCAGGCCCTTAAGACTTCTGGTCAGCAGCAGAGATCGAAAAATGTTTTTCTTGGTTAAAAACTTAATGAACAATGGATAAAATATTGGGGAAATTAAACAAAAGTCTAAGTACAAAACCAAGAAAGAAAAGTTACAGAAACAGAGAAGGAAGTTGGTATCTGAGCTGGAACTGAGGCCATCTGGTCTCCAGTTTGTCCGAGTCAGATACAGACTTTAGGGAGAGGTGTTTAATGTCTTCTCAGAGCAGTGGATGAAACTCAGGTCTGTGCCCTCAATGGAGCTCTATGCTAGTGGCCAGGACTATCCCCACCTGGGGAGGATGAGTTACAAAACTCTGCCCAGTAGTCTAGGGATGACTCTCTTGTTCTCTTATGGAGCAGCCAGTGGTCTCAAACCACCAACTTCCAGTTAGCAGTCCAATGCCTAACCTACTGCACTACCAGGGATCATTTAGCAAACACCTAAAATGTACTTGACCTTGTGTTCGACTCTGGAGAGTCATGAAATAGGAAAGCTCACCACATTCCCAAGACCAGGAGTGGAAGGAGTCAACCACAGGAAAAAGTCCATGTTTTACGATCCATACATGGGCCTCCATGTTTGATAAAGAAGAGGGTCAACAGAGGCAAAGGCAGTGCTCAGTGAGGACAGACACACAGCTGTAACAGTAGACCCCGACACCCCCACAATCCTGAAGATGGTGCACAATGGTGGGGGAGGAGGAGCGTTGTTTGTCCTGTTATATGTAAAGTTACCATATGTGCAGACTCACCTGCAACAACAACCGTCATATAAAGAAATGTGCACAATAGGATATACGATAAAATAGTATTTGTGTACAACTGTTCGATGCATAAACAGTATTTCCTGTGCTTCAGGAAGACATATGTGTGTTAATGGAGCAGACACATAGGTAGGAAGGAAGGACACACACTAGTCCTAAGATGAGCTGCCTTTGGGGTGGGAATGGGAGGAAGGGAAAGGAAGCAGGGAAGGCTTAAAAAAGATTTGAACTGAAAAATGTGCCCTTTGGACATTTAAACAAATATAGAGTTTCAATGTGGCATGTGTACATAAAAAAAAAAAGTCCTAGAGATAAATACTGTTAACTGATGGTGCATGGAGGGTGTAAAACTAACAATCTGCCCAGTAACCCTTTACTCACTCAATTCACAAGAAAAGCTTTAAAAACAACCTAAATTATTCAAAATTAAAAAGGCAACATTTTCCCTAACGACAAAGTTTAGAAGAGATGGGAAGGTGGTTGGAATGAACCTAAGAACTACAGGGAGGAAGCAGGACTGTTGTTTCAGGGAGGGGATTGCAATCATTGAGATGAAACAAAGTGTATGATTTGTTGAATGTCAAACTGATGATCTTGTCTGTAAACCTTCACTCAATTCACAGTAAAAAATTTAGGAAAAAAGAATAACTAAAGCAAATGATAAAATAAATTGTTATTAGTTTTTGGTGGGAGAGTGTCTTTATCATTAAAAAAAATATATTCTCTGTATATCTCAAATACAAATGAAAAGATAGTGTATTTTTTTCCACAGAATTTTTACAGCCTCCTCATATATCATAATATAAAACAATAGACTATTTTTTTCTAAAAAATAGAATATTAAAAGAAAGATTGAATGTACTTAAAAAAAAAAAAAAGAATATAACAATGGTAGAGGGAGAATGTCAAGAGTAATTGTAATTAAGTCTAGAGGGAGGAGTCTACTAGAAGAAACAGCCCAGAGGTCTTTTGGGAGCTGGGCTAAGGATGGTGGCTCGAGGGGGTACAGAAAACAGTTCTTTGCATTCCATGGGACTTTAAACATTTGAAGTGGTATTTGTTTGGAGGAAACAAAATAATAATGCAAAGTAAGAAAGAGAGAAATAAGAGAAGAAATGGATATAGGAAGGAGGGAGGAAAAGAGGTCCCTTCCTCAGAGCGTGCAGTCCAGACCCCTGAGACTCAGAGGACCAGTCTCTAGCCTCCTACGGGCGGAGGTGACAATAAACACACCCATGAAAGCCCTCACCTTTGAAGAAGATGAAATTCAAGAGGACCATGAGTGTGTCTTGGTTGAACTCTTGCAGGCAGTCTGGCACTTGTCCATACGTCTGCTTTCTCACATATTCACTGATCTGCCTCCACATCCCAGGGGAATCCGTGAAGTTAGCTGAAAAGGCTAACACACCGTACAGCTCCTTGATGCTGTCTAGAAACCGTTGCTGAGGTTTGAACTGCTTGTCCAGGAAAAGGGAGTTGCCTACTTTTAGTTCAAGTTTGGGGTTGGGCAAGTCCAGACTCTGGAGAAGACTCTGGAAGCCACGGTGGAGGTCGGCTTCTGGTGTCTCAGTGAGGTTGAAGCCCAGGCCCTCAAGGATCTGAGTTTGGGTGTCAGCCTGGGTCCCAAGAGAGAGTAGGGCCAGAGTGGTGAAGATACTCACTGGGGAGAAGAAGATGTTTCCGGGGTTATCTGCTGCCATCTGCTTATATAAATGCAAAGCAAACTTGGTGATGGTGGGCGTGATTTTGTGGTAGGCGGGGGCTGGCTCTGAGAGTTGGTCATGGGCGACTTGAGGCGCCCTCAAATTCTTATCTCCATGTGCAGAAAAGGCCAACACTCCTGTTCCCAGCAGCCAGAGCCAAGCTGGCCCCATCCTCTGAAAACAAGATGGTGGACATGTAACTTCCTTGCATACAGAACTCTATGGTTCCCATTGCTTACACAGTACACATCACCATTCATACCATATCCCACAAGGGCACCATGGGAGAATCCTGCAGAGGACAACATGGTAGGTGAATGGTTAGGACCCTGGTTACAATTAGAACTGTAGTCCTTTATGTGCTGTACATATTGATAAATCAAGAAAAAGACTCTGGACTATAAAAGCTTCCATAATCTAATCTCCCTTTCTTCCATCAATCTTCCCTCCCATCTACTTTCCTTCAAACTTCCTTTTCTCCCTCTATCACTAAAAGGAGGCAGAATCATGAACAACTCTGTTTTATAAAATGAGAAATGGAAGCTCTGCAAGGCAGAATAACTTCTCCTTCCTCTCTTTTGCTTTGTTCATCTTTATTCCTAGTCATTCCTTGAATGGTTCATCTCCTTTCAAGGATCTGTCTGTAGTAGATACTCAGTTTGCAGTGGGGAAAGGAGATGAACATAATCCCTGACCTCATAGATCTTAGAGTGTAGTTGGGATGACACTCCATAATGAAATGAGCTAATACTTGTATATGACAATATACAATGACAAATGTCATTGCAATTTGAGAAGGAATCCATTGAATAAATGTTCAGGAAACTGTGGCAATGAATGATACTGGACTCTTTTGTAGCTAGGTGTGGTCAGACAAGGATGCTCTTAATACCTAGAAGAGAGGGTGGTGGATGCAACGCAAAGGAAGAGGCATGCTTCCTTGCCCATGGTCTTCCATTAGTTGGAATGAGCCTGTGATGATTAGCCATTGGGGCCATGCTGATGAGAACAACCTTTAAGGGGTGGCAAAGCATGGGGTCAGTGGAGCCTGGGAGGAGAGGTGACAGCTATGGCTTCGTCTCTATCTGCTCTCTGTTCATTTGAATCTCTCTTGTCACATATAATAGCTGAACCCAAGATCCTAATTGATGCAGGGGTTTGGGGAAGATAGCCCTGTGCTTTTGTTTCTTCAGTTAGAAAATGTGTGAGATGAGACTGCTGTCTACCTCTAGAGGTCAAAGTGGTTCAGGACCAGGGGGACCCCTTGCCTCAGGCCAGGGGTGTAGCTCCGGTTCTCTTAAGGATTGTCCTGCCTTGCTGTCAAGCCTAGTGTCCTTATTTCCTTCCAGGTCTCCCCAGGGACATATGTTCACACTGTCACCACACCCTTCTCAAGAGTGATGCTCTCTGTGTCCTTCTGCCCCCATCCAAACTAGCCCTCTCACTGCCCCATTCCCTGTTGTTGGCCTTCTCTGATGGTCTGTGTGTCTGCACACTTTTAAAGCTCTTTGCTCAAACCAGCAACCTCTGGATCAAGTTAAAGCCCTGGGGTAGGTGGGAGAGGTTGAATGTGTGCACATGGCTTATAGCTTGTGGGGACTCTTATAGGCTCCATCAAACCAGCAGTTGGCAGGAGGGACATGTGCAGCCTCACTGCTTGTGATATTGAAATGCATTTGCTGGTCAAAGAACTGGAGGTGATGTCCCAAGGCCACACACACACACACACACACACACACACACTACCACCAACAAGACCCAGTGACCATTTCTGGGCTTTTCCTTGGAGAAAGGATTTGGAAGATGCAGAACCATTTAAAAAAAGAAAGCAAAGAAAAAAAAAAAAAAAGATTTGTTCCTGGGTAAACTAAAAAAAAATAAAGCTGTGATGAAATTACTTTTGATTAATTTTTAAAATTTCATTGAATTCAGCACTATTTTCTACCCTAACACAGCTTAAAGATTGCCAGGTTTGCAGAAACAGGCTCGTGTGTATTTCTTAAAGCAGGATGGAGTTATAAGTCCAGGGCCCTGGGTTGGACTCAAGGTGCCACTGGTTACTCACTGTGTAACTGACATTCATGTTAACCTCAGTGTTCCTATTCTCAAATGCAAATGACAACATCTACTTCATGGGGTCCCTTGAGGATGGCACTACATATAATATACACACTTGCAGGCACATGCAAGGTGCTTGAGCCCAGTTTTCTTCCTCTTCTACGGAAGCCAAATGTAATTACGTCCAGTTCATTTCTTAATTCCCTTTTCAGAATCTGAGGCTAATGAAGGACACCATTAATTGTCACATCCCTCCTGTATTAGGTGTTTATTACGTGTCAGGGATATTACATACATTGCATCAGTGGTTCCCAACTAGAGGTGTTTACAAATACACAAGTGTGTGTATATGTGTGTGAGAGGGGGTGTGGCGGGGGTTTGGATTATCTCTGTGGAGGATGCCACTGGTGTCTAGTGAGTGACGGTCTGAGATGCAAACAGATAGTGCAAAACAGCCACATGCATTGAACAGGGACTCTGCCAAAGGCCAGCCATCCCCTACTGAGAAATGGTGCTCTATGTCAGTTTATTTCATCTTGGTAAGAACCTTAAAGGATCCCTGGATGTTGTAAATGGTGAAATAGTAGATGCTAGCTTAACGGTTGAGTTCATCTAGAGGTGCTTGAAAGAAGATTTGGAAATTTACTTCCAAAAATTCAGCCACTGAAATCCTATGGAGCACTGTTCTAATGTGACACCCATGGGGTCATCATGAGCTGGAGAAAACTAGATTTCAATTGGTGGTGGAGGAACCTTAAGAAGTAGGCTTATCGCTGCTTCACATACGAGGAACCGGAGTCCGAACAAACATCTGGTAAGTGGCAGAGGCAAGATTCAAACTCCAGACCATGGCTCTTAAGCATGACATTTTTCAGAACACAGAATTTCTAGCAAGTTAGCTACAACATAACTACTGTCTTGTTTGGGGTCATACTGTTCTGTTTTCCTGCCTAACTGCCAAGAATATTTGGAGTCCCTGTCTCAAAATTCTTGAAGGTCAAGTTTTCCATAAAAACGGATTGAAAACTTGAAGTTCCTACTTCAGAACTTGGAGGCAGTGACTCTGTGCATTTTTCCTTTTAGGGATTCATTTCTCCCACCCCTGCCCCTCAAAGCCAGAGAGAGAGAGAGAAATGGTCAGTGCTGCCCCTGCCTTCTTCTCTGGCACTATGGATGACACGCGTTAGTACTCACAGCACGGCTATGAGGGCTCTAGGTCTTCAGCTCCACATCTCTTTCCACCCACAGGAAAATGGCATTTGTAGATCCAGCAGCCTGGCCAATATTTGTGAGGTCAATTCCTGGAACTGGTTTGGAGACAGTGACCAGCAAACAAGAAAGGATTTTTTTTTCCACAGTAGCTGTCCTGTCTGCCTGTCTGTCCTACAAGCCCACAAATGCGTTGTGAGTCTAGAGCAAGCTCAGCTTGAGGGTCTTCTATTATTGATGAGATCACAATATGATTCCCGCTGCTTTCTGTTCTTTATTGATGACCCTCACAATTAAGATGTTGGTGTATGCTTGGGATACAGAAGCTCTGTGAGGTTAAGAAACTCAGGAAGTGGGGATGGGGCAGGACTGCAAGAGGCATCTGACTCCACAGTCACACTGTGCAGCAAGTTGGCAGGGGACAAGATCAATATACCAAAACCAATTCTTCACCTATGGACTTCTTGTTGTTAAAGACTGTTGAGTCCGTTCTGACTCATAGTGGCCCTATATCGGGGTTCCAATGAGTGGCTGGTGGGTTTGAGCTACTGACCTTATGGTTAGCAGCCCAGTGCTAGCAAGAATTAGTCTGAAAAAGAAATCAAGAAACCAATTCTATTCACAATACCATAAAATAACAAGAGATAGGTTCTTTTATAAAGAAATTTAACAACAATGGAAGTGCAAGATGTCTACAGTTAACGCTATACAACACTGCTGAGAGAAATTCAAACATTTAAATAAATGGAGAGAAGTTCCATGTCCATGTATTGGAAGGCTCCCTATTGTTAAGAAAGTTCCCCCCAAATTGATCAGTAGGTTCAATGATGATCAAACTCTCAACAAGCTTCTTTCGTGGAAATTGATGGGCTGATCTTAATATTTATATGGACATAAAAGGTCTTTTTAAGTTTTTTACCATGGACTGCCAGAAGAACAAACAAATCTGTGTTGGAAGAAGTATAAACAGAATGCTCCTTAGAAGCCAGGATGGACAGACTTCATCTCTCATATTTTGAATATTATCAGGAGGGACCGGTCCCTGGAGAAGGACATCATGCTTGGTAAAGTGGATGGTCAGTGAAAAAGAGAAAGATCCCCAACGAGATGGATTGGCATACTGGCAGCAGCAATGGACTCAAACGTAATGACAATTGTAAGGATGGTGCAGGACCGGGCACTGTTTTGTTCTATGTACATAAAGTCGTTATGAATCAGAACCAACTGGATGCCACCTAAGAGCAATAACAACCTCAGAGAGGTGTTGCTTATGGGTTTGAAGCAATCTGCCTTGCAGTATTTAATTTGACAGCTGGACTTTGGGACCTGTTTTGTGTGCAAACTGATGGCTGGAGCTCGCACTTGTAGCTGGTTCTGAGTGGGCTGAGCTTGTGACCCTCACTGAGCATACTTTGGGAAGGCTGTTATTTCTTCCAGACCCCCAGCTGCTGAGTGAGCTAGAAAGGGACATTGTTGTTCTAAATCTTTCCTGATGGTGCTTACAGTAAGAACAGTAACACTGATGACTAACATTCATTTGTGGTTGTTGTTGGTGGTCATCGAATCAGCTCAACTCTTGAGGACACCCTAAGCATGGGGCTCATCTTCCTTTACTACGTCAGACAATATTCTACTGTCACCCATAGGAGTTTCATGGACTTATTTTCAGGAGCAGATCACCAGGCCTTTCTTCTTAGTCTTTCTTAGTCTGAAGCTGTGCTGAAATCTGCCCACCAGGAACGAATCTGCTGGTATTTGAAATAGCCATGGTATGGCTTCTGGCATCATTTGTTGTTATTGTTGTTGTTAAGTGCCGTTGAGCCTTTTCTGACTCATAGCGACCCCATATAGGGTTTCCAATTTTATGAGTTTGAATCACCGACGTTGTGATTCAAACCGACCTTGCAGTCCAGTGCTTTACCCCACAGCATCACATCAGGGTTGTGAAGTGTCGTCAAGTCAGTTCTGACTCATAGCGACCCTGTACAGGGTTTCCGAGGAGCAGCTGGTGAGCTTGAACTGCCGACCTTGCAGTTCAAATGGCTTTGCAGTCTGGTGCATTAACCCATAGCACCACACCAGGACTTATAACACTGAAATCATCCTAACGGAGCAAACTGACAGATGGGTGATAGTGTATTCACTGGGTACTTAAGTACTATTTGTGTGTTTACTCACAGCCAAGCCAACTGAAGTGGGTATTACCACTTCAGATTCAGAGGAAGACAGTGACCCAGAGAGAGGTGAATGTAGCAGGGTTAGGAGATGAAGGTTCCATAGCTGGGAGATTGTGGAGTTGGGCTTTCAGTCCTGTTTTGGGAGCTAGGGTTGGAGATCTTCTTGCAACCATCCTTCCTGAGCTTGGCCCATCCTTTTTGCTCCTGTCTCCATGCTGTGTAGCTGTCATGGACACGAGGTCCCTATGGTCACATCACCAGCTGTCATTTCTACCTGTGCATCTGTTCCCTGGGGACAGGAATGCCAGTCAAGATGACAAGATTCCAAAGGATTTACTCGAGCTGGTGCCCCACCCACACCCCCTAAATCAAACCCACTGCCATTGAGTTGATGCCAATTTATCATGCCAGTGAAACACTTTCTAGCCTGGTCAGTGCAAGGTCGTATCGAACATCACACTGAAGTGGCTCAGACCACTCCTGGGAACTCTGCATGCAGAGAGGCAGGGTTGGTTCTCTGAGAACAGCATCCGGTCCCCAGGCAGAACTCAGTTCACTGAGATGCTGCAGACAGCCAGACTCATGGGTAACTGATGACCAGGTGGTGGGGCACACCGAGATCTGTCTACAGGACCTTTCAAACCAACACCCATACAGAAAATATGCTCACAGGTTGTCTATGATGTATTTTAAAATGGTTTAGCACAGATTCAAGTGAGGTGGTGATATTTTTATTGGTCTTCTAGGGGCTGGTCTTTCACAACAACTGAGCAACCCTGACCAGGATAAGACTCTACAAGGGAAGCATGTTCCCATTCAGAAGATTCTCCTCAGAAGCCCAGGCTCCAAGTCTGCCTAGCTTGATCAAGAATCAGCAGGAAAGACTTGCTTAATAAGCTTAATGGAGAACTTTGAAAAGAAAAAAAAAGAAAAAAGTGATTTTTCCACTGCCTGGTGTTCACAAAGATAGAACATTTGGATAGAAGTATTACCCAATCACCTTTGTCCTTGTTTGAGCAGCCTGTGACATAGCTCTGGACTCTAGATTCCAAGCCTGGGTTTCGGGTTTGTTTGTTTAGATTGCATGTGTGTGTAGGTTTGTTCATCTGGCTCTGATTAGAAGGTCAGTAGAATCAGCCCTTCCAATATGGCCCCTTGCGCCTTGAGTGACACTTTCCTGAATTGTAAAGGACGGCTACCTGAGGGGCAGAGGGCAGCGGCCTCCCCGAGCTTTCAGAACCTGATCTATGACCACCTTGTGCCTGGTCTTACAAACAGAATCTACCTGAGACACATGTTCATTATAGCTTGCACCTAGAAGCGTGGTTGTGTGGGAGGGGGCTGATAGCCCCCATCCTGACTATGTGAGACTCCCCATGACTATCTGAAAGAATTAGTGATTGGAAAGAGTCTTCACATCCAGGTCTGTCAGATGCCCTGTCTGCTCGGGGCACTGTGGACAGAACCATCCCGCCGAGTGTGTTCCTCAGAAGAAGAGATGACTGAGTTCTCACTGTGGCTTTAATGGGGTCCCAGAGAGCAGCGTACGATACACGGCTTGGTATGAAGAGCCCCCTGGCAGCCTGGTGTCTGGTCTCCTTCCATAAAGTGTCCCTGTGGCCAGGGCTGGGGTTTACCTTTGTTTGTTAGATAAAATGGGTTAGATTCACCTGAAGCTGCCTGCCCCCAGCTCTGCATCAGAATTCCTCTCTGTCTGGGAACACCCCTTGAGGCCCTGGGCATTTCCAGGGACCCAGGAAAGGGTATTCATAGTGGCTAGGTGCTACATGGGCTGCCCTTGTTGATGGTAGGCACGGGGAGAAGAGCAGGTAGACAGAGAGGGCAGGGGAAGCAGGGTGGGCACAGCTCTAGGGGCACGGATTGCTGTGACCTTGAAGTCCACAACACAGACAGTGGCTCTTAGGGCTCACAGGGAGGAGCCAGAGCACGGTTACTTGCAATCAGAGGGAAGAGGCTGAGAGTCCTGGGGGGTGGGGGGGTTGTCAGTGTAAGTCTGTGTGAGTCTATGAGGGTGTATGTATATGTATGAGTGTGTGTATGTGTGTCAATGAGAGTGTGTAAGAGTATTTGTAGATGTGACAGTGTGAGTGTGTGAAAGTGTGAGTGTGTATGCAACTGTGTGGGTCTGTGTGAGTACGTGTGTGTGTGTGTGTGTGCACATGTATAGGAATAAGAGAGCATGCATGAGAGGATTGTGTGCAAGTGAGTGTGTATATTTTAGAGTGCATGTGTGTGAGTGTGTGAATATGGGTGAATCTGTATGCATATATGTGAGTGTGCACACATGTGGATATGGATTGTGAACATGTATATGTCTGTATGTACATATGTGAGTGTGCCTGAGTGTGAATGTGTGAACATGTGTACATCTGTATGTGAATATGTGAGTGTAGACATGTGTGGGTATTAATGTGAACGTGTGTGTGTGTGTATGTGTGTATGTGCACAAATGTGGGTGTGGATTGTGAACATGTGTGCATCTATATGTACATGTGTGAGTGTATACACATGTGGGTGTGAATGTGCGAATATATGTGTGTCTGTGTTGCATACGTGAGTATGCACATGTGTGGGTGTGAATGTGTGAACATGAGTATGTCTGCATTACATAAATGAGTGTGCACACATGTGGGATGTACATGTGTGCACCTGTATGTGCATGTGTAAGTATGCACATGTGTGGGTCTGAATGTGTGAACATGTATTTCTGTATGTGTATGCGTGACTTCACACATGTGGGTGTGAATTTGTGAACATGTGTACATCTGTATGTGCATGTGTGAGTGTGCACATGTGTGAGTGTGAATGTGTGCATCTGTATGTGCATGTGTTCACATGCACACACGTGGGTGTGAATATGTATGCGTCTACATGTACGTGTGTGAGTGTGCACACATGTGGGTGTGAATATGTGAACATGTGTATATCTATGCATGTGTAAGTATGCACAATGCGGTTGCGATTGTATGAACATGTATGTGTGTGTGAATGTGTGGCCATTTGTGCAGCTGTATGAGCATTTATGTGCATGCACACGTGTGAGTGTGAATGTGTGTCTGTGTGTGAATATGTGAGCATGCACACTTGTAGGTGTGAATGTCTGAACATGTGTGTGCCTGTGTGAGTGTGCTGGAATGTGAATGTGTGAACATGTGTGTCTGTGTGTGCAATGTGAGTGTGCACATTGTGGGTGTGAAAGTGTGTATGTCATTGTCAGAGTCAGGAAGGTGATCAAACTGAGGAACACAGATGAAACCAACCCAGAGCACTCAGAGAGATGCTCACCCCCCTTCAATGAAGCCATTTTCCTGCTGGAGAAATGCATGACTCCACTGCCCCCTACCATCTGGACTTGGCCACCCATCTGATCATGTGCTCATCTGCCCCTCCTTCTGCTGCAGCCACCTGGGCCCCTTGTTCCTCCGGTGTGCCTTCTCCTTCTGATTGGCAGGCTTTGCCCTCCCATGGCTTCCTTCCAGTCCTCCTTTCCTGTTTCTTCCCAGCACTCTTGCAATGGGTCCCAATCATGGCTGATGCTAGCTTGGGTTTAATGGTTGTAGAGGTTGTCTGTCTCCTCCATGTAGAATGCAAGAAGCTCATCATTATGTTCAACACCTTTAGCACCTGCACCTCCATCTCTTAGCACATGTTAGGTGTTCAAGAAGTATTTATAGAGTGAATGAGTGAGTGAATTTATAGAGTGAATGAATGAAGCCATAGGTCAGCAGAAAAGCCATTTACAGGTAATGACCCTGGAGTCTGGTTGTCAGTTTCTTATACAAGACACTGAGCTCACCTTCTAAGATAACTGAATTTACCACTAATTCAGCCAGTGATGTGTTTGCCCTACATCTTCCTGTTCTCAGACCAAATGCCAAACAAACAAATAAACAAAACACTACAAAACCTAAGGACGTAGAATTGATTTCAACTCAAGGAGCCCCATGTGTGTCAGAGCAGAACTGGGCTCCATGGCATTTTCCATGATTGTGACCTTTTACAGGTAGATCACCAGGTATTTCTTCTGAGGCTCCTCTAAGTGGATTCAAATTTCCAAACTTTTTATTAGTAGACAGCCAAACACTTAACTGTTTCCACCACTTCAGAACTTCAGACATTAAACAGGTCAGCCATCTTCCAATGAAGCGAGGTACCTGGGAAAGATTGAAGGAAAAGTTACAGATAGGAGGTGACAACAATTTTGGATGGTGACCAGGGTCCCTACTGCCTGGCTGATGACTGAGCCTCATCAGTGGCACTCCTGGTAATGAACATGCTTGCTAGGATTTCGTGGTGTTGACAATTTTTGCTATTAAGTTAATATTATTAGAGTCTGGTGTTGTGATAAGCATCATGAAGGGTTTATTGAAGGCGATGACAGGAATATCCTGGGAGGGCTTTTCCTTTGACCGGACCGTGAGCCTGGTGTCTGTCACTGCTGCTGCCTCTGTGCCCACCTCACTAATGTCCAGCATTGCCTTGTGGGTGGCCTGTCAAGGAAAACACAATGAATATTAGCAAACTCTGGAGGGGCTGATCCAAGTATGGGTGCTCTGCATGGGATGGTGCCTCCTACCTCGGGAGGAGACTCAAGATTACATAGGCCAGATGCTTGTTTGCTACAACTGTTGGTACAACTGGTCAGTTGGCCTTTTCAAACTGAATGGAATGTCTGCCTTGAACATAGAGCTCTTTTAGGATCATCCTATGAACAACCAATGAGTCCTGATGTGGTGTTGTCGCATAAGCACTCTTTTGCAAGGTCAATTTGAACCTCAAGGTTGGTGGTTCAAGCTCACCAGCTGCTCCTCAGAAACCCTATACAGGGTTGCTATGAATCAGACCTAACTCGACAGCACTTAACAACAACAAAATAAGCAACTAAAGTGATAACAGCAACTCGAAATATTTGTTGGGAATGTTAGTGGGCAGTGAGTTTATGTGAACGGGAGAGGAACACCTCGGAAAAGGAAGTTGAAGAATGGAATTTATGTCACTGGATTGTACATGTGCAAAGTGCTGGACAGGCATATGGTATATATAGATATTCTAAACAGCAACAGAAAGTGAAATTTAAAATGTTAAAAGGAAGAAGATGTTCAAATTGTACTTAGAATGGGTAGTGATTGCAATCATAGTGATAGAAAGGGGCATTTCAGGAAATTGGATGCACCCTTCTAAAGGAACTGCACCAGAAAATTCCAGTCATGTTTGGGACAGAGGATGTTATACTTTATGGCTGAAGTAGAAGGTGATAGGAAGCTAGGTGCAACACGTTTAACCTGCATGCTGTTGAACTTAGAAATATTCCCCTTTCCTTCTAAGGCAGCAGAATTGGCAGCCACAGGAAAAGCTGAGCTTCAATTGTTCCATGAAGGACTAGTATTTGATACAAATCTCGTTTTAGGGGGAAAAATAAACAAAAGAAAGAATGGAGTTGAATGACTGCAAATGCAGACTAGAAAGACCTGAGTTTGAGCCCAGGTCTGCCACATTTTGGTGCCTTTAGGTACTGTGAGCTTCGGAGTCCAAATCTCTCAACAGGGTGGTGATAATAGCATGTATCACCCAGGGTTATTGGGTGACTAAACTGACACCATAAATAGCAAGTGCTTCAGGATTTGTTAACAGTAGCAGTTGCTAAGATCATTGCATGCCTGGACATAGCCTTGTTTTTGTTGTTGTTATGTGCCGTGGAGTCGGTTCCGACTCATAGCGACCCTGCACAGGGTTTCTGAGGCTGTAAATCTTTACGGGATCAGAAAGCCTCATCTTTCTCCCGCGGAACAGCTGGTAGTTTCAGACTGCCAACCTTGAGGTTAGCAGTCCAATTCGTAACCACTACACTACCAGAGATCCTTGGGACATAGCCTAGGCAATGCTAATGTTGGATTCCTTCCTCATCTTTTAGGGTAAAGTCTTAACATGTTCCTACACTCTAGGGGGCCATGAATGCCTTCAAAATGCAACATTGCTGTTCATATGCTTGAATAAGTATTTTCTTGGGCGTTCACCAAAATATGTGTTGGAATCCAAACCCATATGTCTGTGGATGCAATCCTGTTTGGAAATAGGACTTTTCTTTGCTATCAGTGTAAGGTGGATCCTGACACTAATCACCTCTGAGTGTCACAAAGTGCAGCATAGACAGAGATAAGCAAGCACAAAGGGGGAAAGAGAGATGCCATAGGGATACGGCCAAGGAACCAAAGGAGGCTAGAGCAACTAAAAGACACAACACACGCAGGACAAGCTGTCCCCTAGAACTGACATTCTGAATTCAGACTTCTGGCTTCTTAAACTGTGAGGAAAAAAACTTCTGTTCTTTAATGCCACCCCTTCTGGTGTTTCTGTTATCACAACTCTATGTAACTAAGTAATAGTTGTTGTTGTTGTTAAGTGCCATCGAGTCGATTCCGACCCATAGAGACCCTGTATAGGGTTTCCAAGGAGCAGCTGATGAGCTTGAACCACCGATCTTGCAGTTCAAACGACTTTGCAGTTGGACACATTAGGCCACAGCACAAATGCCATAGAACTTGCTCTGACTCATAGCGACCTTATATAGGGTTCCTGAGGAGTAGCTGGGGAGTTTGAAGCACAGGCCTTGCAGTTCAAAACAACCTTGCAGTCCAGTGCTTATCATACAGCACCACAGTAGAAGTCCTAAAACACATAGAGAAAGACCCATTACATTCAACATATTCCTGTGGAATTCCTCTGCATTCCTCCCCTGCAGCCCAGTGAGGTCAGTGTCCTTCAGGGTCCCTAGTGATATCAAAATGTTTAGGACAGGACAGGGATCCGAACTTCCTATGAAGATAAAGGTCAGACAGGTAACCCCAGTGAGATGAGGAGATCTCTTTTAAGAGTAGGGGCTTCAGAGGCAGCCCACAGTCTGGTGAAGAGGTGCCCAGCTCAGCCTAGGTGATTGCTGCTGGGTAGGATTTGGGCTCCTTGTCACTATGTAGGAGCGGGACTCAGTGATTTGCTTCCTAAAATCCAGATTTTTAGGTCCAATGTCTAATTTTAAAAGGCTGCCTCTTTTTAAAAGCTGTCATCATTTTGACCATTGCAGATCAAACATAGCACATCCTCAGGGTGCAGAAGACCATGAGTAGCCACAGGATAACCTCGGTGTGAAGATCTCGCCTTCAAGGAGGAAGGAAGTGACGTCAAATGCCAGGTCGGCATTTGCGAAAGGAGGTAAGTGTCACGGGCACTTTCAGGCTGAAGAAAAGCTTGAAACTGCTTCTGGGTTGAGGCAGGTGACTTAGTACCGAAAGTCAGGTGGCCATAAAGCCACAGGCACAGATTCAATCCTATTGCTACTTAGAGAGGAGTCATTTCACTTCTCTGAACCTCGGGTTCCTTGTCAATGGGTAGTGAGCACACAGTTCACTGGTCTCATCAGTGGGATTAGAACACACAGTTAGCCTGTTTTATCAATGGGACGAGGGCACACAGTTAACCAGTCTCCCCGAGTCTTCCCAACTCAGACTCTGTAGAAATAATCTCAGTTACCAACTCACTTTGGAAACCCACAGGGAGTGTTTCTTTGTGATTCCAGAAAAATCCGCGTTGTTATTGAAGGCATCCTTGATGCCCATCTTTGGGAGGATGGTCCCCAGGTCATAAGAGGCAGAAATGGAAAACTTTGGCATGAATATCTCTACCAACCTGTGGAGAAGTAAATGGAAAAGGTGACGTCAGAGTCCATGGCATCTCCCTCTCTGCCTCCATGTGGTGTTTCTAGAGACTCTTCTTCCTCAAGCATTGCTGATTGTTGCTAAAGAGGTCAACACATCCAAGACATACAGCCCAAGTTGTTCTGGAAATAACACTCTTGACTAAGCAGATGATGAAGGGGTTCCCCAGTGAGGTAGAGTTCAGAGTTTGGATGGTGGCCTGAATGTGGGAGCCCTTGGCCGAGGCCAAAGGATGATACTGGGCAAAGTTACAGAAGACCTACCATCTCCAGCCCAGAATATCTCCTCAGCAGCCCTTCCCAAGACCAAAACAAACAAAACCCAACCCTAAACCAGTTTTCATTGAATAGATTCCAAAGGATTGCAACCCCATGTATGCCAGAGTAGAACTGTATTCCATAGCATTTTCAATGACCATGATCTGTTGTAATTAGACCACCAGGACTTTGTTCTGAGGACCCTTTGGTTAGTACCTAAGTGCTTAATCATTTGTACCATCCATGGGTTCCCATTTCCCAAGATAAACCCCGTCCATTCTCTTGAACAGTAATAGAGCTTCCTGCACTGTTGGAAATCGTATAAAGCTGTGCTTTCTACCTCTGGCTGGTGAGCATGTAAAATTTTCATTTTATTTCATTTTAATTAATCTGAATTTAAATAACTACCTGTGGTCGCTGGTCTCTATATTGGAGAGCACAGCCCTAGATTTCGACACACATTCTTCCTTCTCTTCAGTGGTTCTCCTGAGTCAAGAGTAAGCAACTACATTTATTGAGCCCTTATATGTGCCAGACATTGATTCCGGCACATTCATTAACTTTAGTTCCATTGTAAAGACAATAACGTAGTTTCTGGACTTGAAATAGTTACTGATGAAGATCAGACTACAATCTTTGGTATGGATTACACTTTAACATAATGAAAACAAAAGTCATAACTCATAAATGGATTAATAAGCAACATCGTGACAAACAGAGAAAAGATTAAAGCTATTAAAGATTTCATTTTACTTGGATCCACAACCAACACCCATGAGACCAAGATATCAAATGACATATTACAAGAGGGAAAAGCTACCACAAAGACCTCTTAAAAATATTAAAAAACAAAGACGTCCATTTGAGGACTAAGGTGTGTTTGACCCAAGTCATAGTATTTTCAGTCACCTCATAAGCATGCAAAAGCAGGACAATGAATAAGGAAGCTCAAAGAAGGACAGATGCCTTTGAATCATGGTGTTGATGAGGAATATTGAATACACCAGAAGAACAAATATGTCTTGGAAGAAGACTAGCCAAAATGCTCCTCAGGAGCAAGGATGACTTTGTCACATACTTTGAACATAGTCTCAGGAGGTACCAGTCCTTGGAGAAGGACATCATACTTGATAAAGTAGAGGACCAGCAAAGAAGACAACGACCTTTGATGAGATGGATTGGCACAATGGCGGCAACAATGGATCATACATAGCAATGGTTGTGAGGATGGCTCAGGACTGGGCAGGGTTTTGTTCTGTTGTATGTGGAGTCACTATGAGTTGCAACCAACGCTATGGCACCTAACCACAACTTAGTTTTACGTACTTAGTGAGTCACAGAAGTATTGGATGGACTCTTTCCAGTTATCCTCTGACATTAATCCCTATAGCCCAATGGCAACTCTCTCCTGCCTATGACTACCTCCTGTCCTGGCTTGGTTTCTCCATCTTCTCCAGGGTCTTCTGCTGTCTGGGTCCAACAGCCTTCCTGCACTGCTCCCAGCCCTGAAAACTAAAGACTCCTTGCAGCACCTAAACATCCCCTGAGCACATCCTGCTTAGCATCTTCACAATGCTGCTTCCTCTGTAGAAAAAGTCCTCTGGTAGTGTAGTGGTTACGAATTGGGCTGCGAACTGCAAGGTCAGCAGTTCAAAACTACCAGTTGTTCCATGGGAGAAAGACGAGGCTTTCTGCTCCTGTAAAGTTTTACAGCCTTGGAAACCCTGTACAGGGTCGCTATGAGTTGGAACCTACTCCACGACACATGACAACAATAACAACAATAAGTCTCGACATTGAATGAAGGAATTGACAAAGAACAAGGCACTAGGAATTGATGGACTAAAAATTGAAATCTTTCAAGAAAGTGAGGCAGCACAGGAGGCACTCACTTATCTATGCCAAGAAATTTGGAAGACAACTATCTGGCCGACTGATTGGAAGAGATCCGTATTTATGCCCATTCCAAAGAGAGGTGACCCAATAGAAAGCAGAAATCTTCGGACAATATATTTTATATCCCATGCGAGTAAAGTTTTACTAAAAGTAATACAGAAATGGCTGCAAGCATGTATTGACAGAGAACTTCCAGAGTTTCAAGCCAGACTCAGAAGAGGCCGTGGAACAAGAGATATCATTGCTGATGTCCGATGGATCTTGGCTGAAAGCAGAGAAGATCAGAAAAATGTTTGTTTACCTGTGCTTTATTGACCACACAAAGCTTTCGATTGTGTGGATCATGACAAGCTATGGACAACATTGCGAAGTATGAGCATTCCGGAACAACTTAATTGTGCTCATGAGGAATCTGTACCTGGAC